CACACACTTACACATACACATACACACACACTTCCTTTCTCTGTCTCTCTGTCTTTCTGTCTGTCTGTCTGTCTCTCTCTCTCATGTTTCTTTGTCTCTCTTTACTTCTCCCTTTTTCTCTCTATTTCTTCAGCTTACCGCTCGTTCACATCAAACACCCGGATGGGCGACAGTCGTTCTATTCTAACCATTACCCAATAAACTGCGCTGACTAGACTAACACTTGGCAGTTGTCATTGCCTTGGTCTGGATGTAAATGAGGGATATAAGACTTTTTCGTACATTAGGTGTGTGGTTAGAACGACTGTCGGTCAACCGAGTGTTTTATGTGTTACTCTGTTACTCTCTCCTTCTCTGTGTTTCTATCTATCTATCTATCTATCTATCTATCTATCTATCTATCTATCTATCTATCTATCTATCTATCTGTCTGCCTGTCTGTCTGACTGTCTGTCTGTCTATCTGTCTGTCTGTCTGTTCCCAGGTAAATTATTGTTACCGTCTCATGTAGGTCACTGCTATGGTTGTAGGAAAGAAAAAGAACCCCATAAAATCTTTATGCCATATTATTAGTCGCATTTCTTTTATCTCTTTATCTGTTCAGAAGTATTAGCGAGGAAAATGGAAGAAAAATCTCATTTTTTCCACCCTTTTCATCTCTCCTTTCACTTTATAAATAATCTAAACTTCAAAGAGATTCCCCAGGATATGTAGAGACAGGTTTTACGGCTATTTAATGCTCTCGTTTACTCGTCTTCACTCATCTCCTCATTGTCCAAGCTCACGGTACTAAGTGCGCGTGAGATGAGCTTGAGGATAGCGGCGTGTACAAAAATAATGCTCACATCTGGATAAACTCTCTCGCGCCTGCAGCACGGGAGAAATGAGCTCCCCGCGTCGATGCAGTCTGGTAAAAGGGGCAGGGCGCAAAAGGAAATAAGAAGGCTTTTCTCCTCCTCTCGTTTTCCTTAAAGTTTCAACAGTTTATTTTGCATGTCTCTTCTGGCTGGGTTAGAATTTCTCGTAAAGTCAGCAGAGCTGTTTTATCGTACAGCCGTCTTTGAGTTTCCTGTTGGGGGCTTCTGGGAAGCTTTCGCAAAGCTTTTGTAGATGTTTTAATGGAAAAGGGGCCAGTAAGGCTCAGCATGTTTTTGTCAGTAAGGTTGCTGCAGCAGACGAAGAAGAGAGAGG